CTTTAGCGAGTTAAAAAGAACAATTTGTTGTAAAAATTGATTCTTTTTAAAGGAACAAGAGGCCAATTTCATATCACACTCGCCTAAGTGAAAGAGGTCTCTTTTTCCGAGCTGTAAATAAAGGCAGTGGTGGTATATTGCAATGTGAAAGGAGTGTTTTTTCTCTATGTTTTCTCCTTATACATTTTTTTTCTTATAAATGAAATATTAAGATAAGGACCAGTAATCATGCTCAAAGGTCCATTATAACACTTCAAATATGGAGCAGAGCAAACACGGACCCCAAATAACATCAGAGGTGGGATCATGTGCAATGGAGGAGTAATCATCCCCTGTCGAGCGGCCACACCATGTGCTCCATGTCATTAAGTGGCAAATGGAAAACTCCGTAGACAATCCGGTGTGAAAATCGTGGCCTTAAAATTTGTATGAAAAATTCAATTTAACGATAGATTGTATTTGTTAACGTCATTGTACCGACCTCAGAATTTGCAACTTTAAAGGGGATTGCTGATATTCTTGTATCTTATTTCTCAATAACCTGTATCTTTTTCGAAATTGTTCGATAGTAAAACATGCTCTTGCGTTTCGAATCAGGTGGGAGACGTAAACTCCATAAGCAGATGATAATGGTACATGTATATTACTATGTATGTAAGGGAAGCTGACGATAGAAAAGTTGAAGTCATCATTTTTATCATAAAGATTTATTATCAGTTGGCAATCAATGTCTTTCTCTGTTAAAACATCCAAATATGAAAGATATGTGACAGACTTTGTGATATCTTTTACATCGAGTTCAATGGGATATATCAAATCAAAGTACAAATGAATTCGAAACTGATTATTGTTAATTGATAAAATGTTATCGATAAATTTAAATTTCGATTTGAAGGCCACAGCAAACGATTTCTTCTTTTCATGTAGAAGTTTTGTGTACAAGTTGAATATGAATGCAAAACCAGGTCTGCATATAACCAGACACAATAAGTATCAATGGGAATTGCAACAGATTGTTGGAAGACTTTCTCTCCGAAAACCACAAAAGTTTGATGAAAAATGACTACATTGGAAGTTGTAAAAAAAAATTAATAGTTAACAAAGGGATATTTATGTTCTTTAGCTAATTAGGCATAAAATGAAAAAAAATGTTTAATTGCGAAATCGAAGATTTTTATTTTATCATATGTTGTTCCAGCAGTAATTTATTCAAAATATAGATACGTAATTCTTACTTTGATGTTATACTCTAGGAAATTGTCACTTATGGAGTGAATGGTAAAATAAAGCCTTTGTCCTGTTACACAAATATCAATGGGATTGGTTTGAAAACAGAGTGAAGACATTAGATATTATATACTTTAAATTGTCTCTTTGACTGTAATTTAATTTTTTTTTATCTCAGCGGCAACTTCAACATACAAGATGTATAAATAATGAATATGAAAATGGGAAAAAAATAAAGATGAAAACTGTCAATCTGAATATATTAGGCATTGGATAAAAGTGGATTTGTCAAAACGTTTTATTGTCAAGGGAAATATCACAAAGGATGAATGAAATAAAAAACTTATATTGAAACTGAATTACTAAAAATGAGCAAATACACGAACATTTAAACATTGTAAAATTTCCTGGACGTCCTGTCCTTTTCGCAATACACAGAAAAGGTTAAAAAGTCACGGGAAAACAAAACAGATGAAAACAAGGATATCCAACACTACAACTACGCTTCTAAACACTATTTACAGTTTTGAATTTAGAATTTTGATGTTGAAACCTAATTTGTTTGAAATAATTGACCGGATTCATTTCAAGTTAATTAGTATTCAACATAAAAATTCAATATATATATATATATATATATATATATATATATATATATATATATATATATATATATATATATATATATATATATATATATATATATATATATATATATATATGTATGTATGTATGTATGTATTTATGTATGTATGTATGTATGTATGTATGTATGTATGTATGTATGTTTGTATGTATTTTTAATTCTTGATTATTAATTAAGTAATTAATTAGAACTTTTCCAAAAATTATTTTTAATTAGCATTGATAGCAATTTTAAAAGACTCCTAGATATATTCAATTTTATTAGTGTATATAAAAGTCCTTCTGTTTAAAGCTTGAAGTCTGAATGTTCCATGTGGTGTTATTTTACACAATGTTTGTATACATACCGAGTTTTCCTTTTACTTTCATAATTTGATCTAAATAAGACATTCGCAGGATAATCAATAATTAGATTTTTCATTTTTTTTTTTTTTTTTTTTTTTTGAAGTGCAGGCAGAGTCTTACTCATTACACTTTAATCTCTGAATAAGGTAAGGAATATTTGAATATTTTGAATTAAAAGGAAGTTTTTCCATTTTTCCGATATGCGCTAAAGATTTTTTTTAATCTTCTATGGTAAGCATTATTGCACCTCAATTCAAGTTGTATTTGTGATTTATTGTTATTGAAGACACTGGATGTTTCCTGAAACAAAGTGGATATCTCATTTTTCATGATATTCGATTCAAGAGTTTTGATCTCTCAGGAACTAAAAATGATAGAAATTACAATATATATATATTAACTTTTTGTTTTATAAAAATATACCGGTATCTAAAACTAGAAATCAATTGAATTAATAATAATAATGTAAGAACAATACATGAATAGAAAATAAAAAGCTACTTGAGTGAAATTGTAAAAACATAATTATATAAAAGAAATACAAGTCATGATATTATATAACATTTTTTTTTTTTTTTTTTCAAATTTAACACAATGATTCAGGTAATATAGGAATAAATCAATCATACAAAATTCAAATGAATTACAATGAAATATGTAGATAACGAACAGTATTCAAGCTCAAAAGTCCATTAAAACAATGCAATCGGGAGCAGAGCAAACACGGACCTCCAAAAACAGAGGTGGGATCAGGTGCCATGGAGGAGTGAGCATCCCCTGCCCACCGGTCACACCCGCCGTGTGCTCCTAGGCATGATCGGTTAATAACGGAAAAATCCGTCGACAATTCAGTGTGTAAATAATTTGTTCAGTATAAAAAAAAATTGAATAATTTGCCTTGTGTCATGTGGTGAAATTGGAGGAATACATTGACTGCTGAATTCTGAAATGTAGAAAGTAACACCAGCATATTTATTAAAAGGGGAACGATTTAATTAGGTTACCCATGGAAACTCAAGTCAATGATAACAACAGCAATTCTACTTATTTCAATTCTTGTATTGCTGATACACAATGCACCAAAATGTTTTTATTTATTTATTTATTTATTTATTTATTAGTTTGAAGAGCCTATTCAGCATCCAAATAAGTCTATGGAGGCCCGAGTGGAATTGTGGGATAGGACAATGACAAACACTTTCATCCCCTGCACAGTCTACTGTTTGTACGTGGGATTTTGGGAGTTCTTGTAAATGCGATCGTCTTGTACGTGTATGGAGTTCGTCTGAGAGAAAAACAAAATGGGCGATAATTTATTTCCGTTTTTAGCTTTTTTAGATCTTCTTGCCATAATAAGTTCAGTAGTGTTAAATATTGTGTCAAATTTCTGTAATTTCAATTCTGAGCAACTTTGCATATGGAGTTATGTACTTGCATTTTTGACAACCAGTTTATCAACGTTAATCTTGCTGATTATCTCAATACAGCGATACCAAAAAGTATGCAAACCACTCGGTAGACAGATGACCCTTTCCTGTTAGTGCCTGTCTTTACTGTTTCCTTTTATTATATCTATCATAATAGCTTTTCCTTTAGCTGCTACTTTACTTTCGGATTGGAAAAAATCTACAATATAAAACTGAACGTCACCGGTGGTGCCTGCAGAAGACTAATTTCAAAAACACAATAACTCTCTATAGCCCATGGCCGTAGGAACCGGGGGGGGGGGGGGCAAGGGGGGCCGTGACTCCAATAATTTTTCCGACCTATACAATACTATTGAAAACATAACTACTATATGCTTGTGCCCCCTCAATTATAATGTTTGATGACCCTTTTTTTTTCTTGTCAAGAAATTTTGGTGGTTAATAGTGCCTCCCCCCAACTGAAAATGTATGGTTGTGCCCCCTCAAAGTGAAATTGCTTCCTACGGGCCTGTTTAAAGTCATCATTTCGCAAACTCTATGGTCAATACAATGACCTTGTTTGCAAATACAATCTATCTTTAAGTGAATGTTAACTGATGTCTATTATACAAATTTTTAGGCCATTATTTTCACACTGCATTGTTTACGAATTTTTTTCCGTTTACCTGATTATGAAAAGGAGCACACGACAGGTGTGACCATTAGAGGATGTTTAATCCTCCATGGCATCAAGACGTTGACATTCCACCTCTGTTTTCAGAGATCCGTGTTGCCTCTACTCAGAATTCATATTGTTTAAATGGACTTTTGAGAATGATCACTTGCCCTTATGTTCACATTCTATCACTCTTTCATGAGTGACAAGAATGTGAAAGAATTTACTATGACTAATTTTTTTTACAAAGCGTAAGGTAAAAAACTAGAAGATTTTACAAGTGAGGATTTGACTCAAAACAAAAGATCGTTTTGTGTTAAAATAAGTGACATGCTCTAGACTTGACACAAAACAAAACCCTGCGGTTTTTGACAATCCCACGGCTAACAAACCCAAAGATAATAATCCCACGACTTATTACAATTCTGTATTTAAAATTAAGTTAATGCAGTTGTGCATAGATTTGCATCATTAAATGATTATATGCATGTAACCTAAAAGAGTTAAGTGGTTCTTTGCGTCACAGACAGATTGAATATGTATCAACTTACAATTACTTTGCTTCAGTTTGAGAGTTTTTTTTATAAGGAAGTTAAATCGAATAAGGAGTGCTAAGTTTTATGTTTCTAAAAACAGAGTATGAATGAAATACATGTATTGATATTTAATTCTTATAAATATACCGTGGCAATCATCTTCCTCATCATAATACAGAGGAATGGCCAATAGATCAGACGACAATCTACTTAACAAATGGAATGAAGAGCTTTCCAATGTCTTACTTCCAAACTCTGTCTTTCTCGCTATATGCATAGCAGTGGGGTTCATCGGAAACGTTCTCGTAATTTTTATCTATGGATTCAAACTCCGAGGAGCAAAGGAACGGTATTTCATCCCCATCCTTGCTCTGGCTGACCTTTTGGCTGTAACAGAGACTTCGGGGTTCAATATTTCCTATAATTTTAACCCCGTGGAATATGACCGTGAGCTTCTCTGTAAATGGGGATGGTTTTTCGGTTACCTGACGGCCATGGTTTCCATATTTCTTCTTGTGGTGATTGCTATACAACGTTATCTCAAGATCTGCAGACCCTTTGCCAAACAGATGTCCCTAAAATGGAAGAGAGTTGCTGTCTTATGTTCATGTGTTTTAGCTGCTGTGCTCTCGGCTCCGATTCCAGTAACGTATGGACTGGATCCCGCGTATAATGAACGTTATAAAGTCACCGGAAGTGCCTGTCGCCGACTGACCCAAGAGAATCGACTTTTATCTCTTTCCCACGCCATTGTGTGTAATGTTCTAGTTTTTGTGTTTGTGTGGGTTCTGATTCTCCTGTATACTTTGATCGGACAAAGAATCTATAAACAACTTCAGCAGTGGGACAGGGGGCAGAAGCTTTCCACAATCAACAAAAAAGAAAATCAGAGAGAAGATGACTCTGAAAACACTAATCAGAGAAACAAACCAACAATGTTCAGAATAACATTCATGTTTATGTTGATTTCTTTTATTTTTATTGTCAGCTTTTCTCCAAAAGTGGTCATTTTCATCCTGGAGTGTATCGATGACAGATTCTGGGACTCGATGACATACAGTACCAGACTTCTGGTCAGGTTCTTTGACGTCTTGTTTATCGTCAATAACATCGCTAATCCTCTGGTGTACGCATTTCTGGACGTCAAGTTTTCTCAGGAGCTAAAGAAAATATTTTGTGACTTTGACTACTCCCTGTGAGTAAGTCGGGTCTTACGGTAGTAGCATAGTTCATTCTTTTCACTGGAGAAAACTAATCTCATGATTTAAAACTGTTTCCATGGATATATAAAGTACGAAATAAAAATAGAGACATAAAAATCATTTTAGTTTCATTTTTCTAGATTTCTAGAATAGAAATGGTTGTTACATGTAGCATTTCGGCTTATATAAGAGGTATTTATCAGAAAAAGATGACGAAAAGAAACGAAAATAGAATATAAGATATATAAGTGAAGAGTTAGAAATAAGACGTTTTTTGTGAGCGCATAGGCGTTTATAATTAATTATATGATGATGAAAACGGTTACCGTAGCTTTATCTATTAATTTTCAATTTAAATCGTTGAAAGGCGATTTTTATTTTTTGTTTGATTGTATCATGATCTTTATGATTGTCAGTTTTGATTCCATTAAAAAATATTTAAAAATTAAAAAAAAAAACATCCGGTAAATGTAATACATGTATAAATTAATACTAAGGTTACGATTTATTTTCTATTGTACGCATAGTTTCTGAGTTAAAGTTGATTCTATTTCTGAGCTTATGACGCAACGGAACTAATGGTTTTGATAGTTTCTTATAATTTCATGAAGTTATATATCTCTAAGTTATGGTCCTTGGGCTATGAGTCTAATATTGGCCATAACTTTTTACTTTTGGTCATCAACTAAATTACTTTGTTAAAAAATTATTCTGATTCTGCACAAAAGAACTCTGAAGTTGATATTAAAGGGATGCTCATTGACAACATTTATGTAGTCTTCGGAGACAGTCTTCCAATAAGCTGTTGGAATTGCGATGGGCACTTATTGTGTTCCTTTATCAGCCGACTTGTTTTTATATTCCTAAGAAGCGGAATTTATTCAGAAACTTCTACATGAAATATATGGAAATAAAGAACAGTATTCAAGCTCAGAAGTCCATTAAACATTACAAAATAGGAGCAGAGCAAACACGGACCTCCAAAACATCAGAGGTAGGATTTGGTGCCATGGAGGAGTGAGCATCCCCTGCCGACCGGTCACACCGCCGTGTGCTCCTTGTCATGATCGGGAAATAACGGAAAAATCCGTCGACAATTCAGTGTGTAAATAATGGCCTAACAATTAGTATGAAAAACGTCAGTCAGCATGAAAAAAGTCATAAGAAGAAAACACTGTGGCCGCCTATTCGACATCCAGATATATCGACGACGTTTTATCAATTAACAATAATTACTTCCATTAATTTGTCAATTCGATATATCCCAGTGAACTGGAAATAAAAGACACCAAAGAGTCGCCACATCTGTTTCATATTTGGATATTTTACTGACTATAGGCGATAAGGGCCAACCAGCAAATAAACTGTATAGCAAACGAGGTGACTTCCGCTTTTCTATCGTTAACATTCCTTATTTATATCGTAATATTCCGCTATCATCTGCATATGTTGTTTACGTCTCCCAACTTATTCGATACTAAAGAGTATGATCTGAGTACGTTCAATTCTTAAACCGAAGCAGGCTACTGACAGATAAGTTCATGTTACAGGGATTTTAACAACCTCGTTTAAAGTCAGCAGTTCGTAATTCTATGGTCATTATAATGACCTTGCTAACAAATAAAACCCATCATTGGGTCGTATTTTGGCTGAATTGTTTCATTCCAATTGTTAGGACTTCTTAATAAATTTGACCAGAGTTTGTTCAAGCTACCTGATCAATGCATACGGCTCACGGCGGGTGTGACCGTTCAGCAGGGGATGCTTACTCCTCCTAGGCACCTGATCCCACCTCTGGAATTTCTGGAGGTCCGTTTCTTATGCCCTGTCTACAGATTTGTATTTTTAATAGATTTTTTTTTTACATCGATCTCTTCTCGCTATCGTCATTTTTTTTCATTTGAACCTTTTACTGGAGTGAATTCAAACTTGAGTCTTGATATGAAGTAGATAAAAGGTGTGATCTAGACTGTTTATATCTAAAATTGTCATGAAAATTTGGTGTAGTTCTAGATAAACGAAAGTATCCATGCATTATAGTTGTCTTTGAGAATACTTTGTGATTGAAATACATGTACCTATGTTATATGCTAAGTTTCTTTCGGGTGAAATCGACCAAATGTAGTTTATACGTGGGATCGTCATTTACAAGATAGACTTCAACATGACCAACTAATGACCGTTAAAACTACTTGTCAGATATCCGTCCTTGTTTTTCCCTGGCGTCGGAAAACTTTTAATTTATCAATACTGTTGTAAGTGCGGAAAGACTTTTAATATGAATACTAGTACTATTGTAAGTGGTCTGTGACGATTGATGTCTAACTTGTGAGAAACTAAAGAAGTGGGATTGAATGAAACCTGTGTGGAAAAACATACAAAAAAATCATAAAATGAAATATGATTAAACGAACAAAGAAAAAATATTGTAGATATGAAAAATTCCGAACTATTCTGAAGTGTAAAGATTTTCCCAAAACACTAACCATGCAATTGACTTTTAATTGAAAACTGATTTTTTTCCATACATATCTTATTGTATAGAAGATAGACTAATGGGTTGAATACAAGACGTAAAAATTTTACCTTATAATGTATACTTGTAAAAAATGGTTACAAAGATTGATGACAATAAGAAAATTATTCCTAATATACTTGCTGAAACGAAAACAAAAACAAATTAATAGCAATTCTCTGTAACCAATTAAACTTGTTTGGCACGCAGGGTCACCGATTCTTATAAAAATTTGCAAATCACTATACTTTGACTCCAGAAACATATATCAATCAGAATTTGGTTGCTATGCATCTTGGTTGCCATAGTAATCGACAGAAAATGTTCAAAAATTAAAATTTTTATCTTTTTTAAAAACATTTTTGGGCTATCACAAGGACTTTGAAAACCATAATGACCACTTACACAAAAACTTTTTACAAGATAACAAAGCAAAGCAACACAAATTGTGCTTTACTTTTGATTATTAGTGCCATTTCATGAAGCATGGAGAATCGAAACTGAGAAATATATAAATATAAATATATATCTATGTTTTTTTGGAGACCATGGCAAGGTCTTCCAACAATATGTTGGAATTCCCATTGGTACCAACTGCGCCCCATTTTAGCAGACCTATTTTAGATTCATATGAAGCAGAATTTAGTCAAAATCTTATACAGGAGAAAAAGAAATCTCTTGTTGTGGCCTTCAATTCGACATTTAGATATATCGACAACGTATTATCAATTACGGTAACAATAGTTATTTCCTAGGGAAAGACGTTAATGGTAATCTAACAACACAGCTTTATGATAAACATGATGAATTTAACTTTTCAATCGTCAACTTCCCTTACTGATATAGCAATATACCCTTATTACCTGCGTATTGGGTGTATATCTCTCTTTTGATTCGATACACAAGAGCATGCTCTACATATGAATAATTTATAAAGGTAAGTTATTGACAAACAAGTTGATGAAACAAGAATTTCAAAAGTCTCGTTTAAATTCATCATTTTGTAAGTTCATTTGTCGATACAGAACTTGTCAACAAATACAATCTATCATTAACATATGCTGAGAGACGCTCTTCATACTTATTGTTGGGCCATTTTTTTACATACTGAATTGTCGACAGATTTTTCCGTTATTTCCCGAACATGACAAGAAGCACACGGCGGGTGTGACCGGTCGGCAGGGGATGCTCACTCCTCCGTGGCACCTGATCCCACCTCTGATGTTTTTGGAGGTCCGTGTTTGCTCTGCTCCCGATGTTTATTGTTTGAATGGACTTTGAGCTTGAATACTATTCGTTATCTCCATATTTCATCTTTAAGACCCTGTATCCCAGAGAGCATGAAGAAAATAAGGAAATCGTTGCTTTATTATTGTAACCATAGAGTCAGCATGGTAGTGGTTTAAACTTATCTCCTTTATTTTTTATAAGTTTTTTTTATTTAATTACTTCTGATAAAAAATATTATACTATATTAATTCATCTTTGATTACGTGAATTTAAGAAATAAAAGTTGAGTTATAAATAATGATCTGTTGCTATGGTTTTCAGAGGGAAAAAAATGTTCAATTTTCCTAGCCTCATATAATAGCTACTGGCATCGAGCTAGAAACGGCATGGAATGTATCATTAATATACATCAATCTAAACAGTCTTTGAAATTTACATACAAAGTTACGTATTACAGAAAACTGAATACTTTTTAAAATTTTTTTAACATATATTTTAACATAACCAAATTTGCACAGTCTATTTTAAGAATACGATTAAAACTTTTCGAAATATGGAACTTTAGATCACATCCTTGTTTTCAATAACTGTTCTCCAGTTATACATATTGACCAGGGGTCATTTTTCTGTGTAGAAAATTGAACCCCACCCCCCACCCCCCAACCCCGGTCTATATCCTACTTAAAAAAATGACAACTTTTTGTAGAAATTACGACCTTAGGGTCATTTTTCGATCACAGGGTCACAAAAATGATTCTGTTAAAATCTGTTCCACTGTCTTTTGTCGTTTTCTAGTGTCAACAAAGCCTTAGCAATATGAAGCTTTTTACATCAAAAACTTAGTCAATTAAAAGAGAGGCGTTTGGTATACCAAGAATTGACATAAATCTATAAACAATAAAATCGTCTTCTCCCTTTCTAGTTACATGTAAAAAAAAATTAACAATAGAGAAACCCCGAATGTTGCATTATGAAAAATCTTCTCAGTCTAATTCACATACTCAGCATTACATTTTAAGTTTCATGCCCCCGGATCGAATATACGGGGATGTATAGCTTTTGTCCTGTCTGTCCGTCCGTCTGTCTAGCTGTCTGTCTGTCCGAAAAAGACTTTTGCCCAAAAAAATATTGCCCATAACTTTTGATTGGTTGGAGATATGACTTTCATATTTCACATGTGTATTTCTTGTGACAAGACCTTTCTTATAACATATTTGACCTTGACCTTGGAGTTTGACCCAGTTTCGCAAACTTTTACCGAACTTTAACATTGGCCAAAACTTTAGAAAGG